TCTGCAAATCGGGGCTTTCATCTTTACGCAGGACTGTAAGCTGTCATCTGTGAGGCGTGAGCGGTGTTTGTTTTTAACATAGTTCACGGTGGAGAACAGCTGAAATAATGTGGATCTGAAGATCCATAATTGGCCTACCTGGGGTTGAAAGTTTCGATAAATGCACAGCGTTTTGGCAGGTACACCGGCTTCCGCGAATGTGATGCTTATCTTGAGCGATGAAAAAAATAATAAGATATAATTTTATTTTTATATTTCAAAATCACAATAATCTTCCAATTTAGAAGTACAAGTTTAAAAAAAGAACTAAACACAAATAAAATGCACTTCAGCTAAATACTTCTAATTTATTTTCCCAAACCACCCGGAGCTGCAAAATAAGGACTAAATAGCCACATGCAGCTCCGGAGCCGCGGGTTGCCGACCCCTGTTCTAGGGTGTAGCGTGGACTATATGTTTATCAGTAGAAAACTGGATTAAATACACTCCCCTGGTAGTTGCTCTGTCTCTGTGTCCATGAATGGCGAGCAAACTGTAAAAGATTACATGGATTTAAGGAGAGACTTAAGTTGAAAAGAAAGAAACTAAACGTGCCCAATATCTTCATCTGAATACAGTTTGTCAAGCTCTAAACTCTAAGTTTCTGCAGGTTTTTGAACGCTGGTCCTTACCAGAAAACTCCTGGATCTTTATCCTGTGCGTGAACTAATTCTTCATGGTTCCTCCACAGAGTGGACCAGCGGAGCTCAGAGGTTCCCAGTGGTCAGTCAGCCCAGCAGCATCAAACACAACTGGACTCCATATTTATGGTCTGTACATGTACAACAACTACTTTTACATCTATTTTGTTCACAGTCATCTCCATGCTGCTCTTTGTAGACCAGTGGATTGTCAGTGTGTCCAACGTGGATCTGATGTTTGGCTCCATGATTTCAGTCTGATTGGGTCATTCATAAAGTATTCTGTTCCAGCTGCTGGAGGACAACATCATCACTTTTGTGAAGAACGAGCTGAAGAAGATCCAGAAGGTCCTGAGCCCAGATTACCCAGAATGCTTAGAGAGTCAGAGGGAGGATGATGAGAGGTGGAACAACAGAAAAGCATTTGTGAAGATCACACTGGACTTCCTGAGGAGAATGAAGCAGCAGGTGCTGGCTGACCATCTGCAGAGTAGTAAGAGCATTTCTGCAAAGATTTGAGCTACTGGATAAAGTGAACAATTATGCTAATGTCTCAAGAGATGGACCAACATGTAGTCAATAATTGCTTAGCAGAACTGGAATTGTCACAAACATTTTTGTTAAACATGAACTAATTTGTTGATGTTCTATTTTTATTATTCCATTTAGAACTTTCTGCTGCCGTTTGTCATCGTACCCTTAAATCTGCACTGAAGAAGAAGTTCCAGTGTGTGTTTGAGGGGATTGCTAAAGCAGGAAACCCAACCCTTCTGAATCAGATCTACACAGAGCTCTACATCACAGAGGGAGGGA